TTTATTATGAAACTATTTAAAACCTTCATTTCTACTGCATTAAATAATAGTTTTTACAGATGTGTGATGTGTTTTTATTTGTTAATATGTTGTAGTATTAATGTGACTCAAGTTTTTAGATGAGAGTTTCTTTGGTTCCTGGTTTTACTTTGCAGAGATTAAAGTTAAGCAGGTGAACAGACTGCAGCTGATCAATGGATGCTTTATAATTTAAACTAAAGAAATTCAGAGGTTGAACTGAAACAGAAGGGCTTTGTGCAAAAAAAACAAACAGTTTTTCTAAATTCTGAATTGATTCATAAAAACAAATTTTCAACTATCCTTACAACCACCATCAACTAATATAACTTTATAATTTTGTTGTTGTTGAATGTAATATTAGCATTAATATGTTGCATAACTACTGTACACACACTCCAATTAAATTGCTTTAATTGGAAAACTTAAGTCAAATCATTGACTTAAGTTTGCCCAACTGACCTACCAATTTTTCTGCTTCTAAACTTAAAACTTCAAGTTCAAGACTCAGAATAGTAAGCTAAAGCTAACTTCAACCATGAAATCTTGCTGATTGAAGCATCTTTACTCTCTTTAGGATCATAATAAAGGAAGAGGAGATACTTTCATTTTGAGTTCCAGTTAAAATGATATTGGCCTGGCAGGGATAGAAAGTTTTTAGTCCTTTACTTCAGTCAAAAATAAGATCCTACAACATCTAAACAGATTAATTGTCCTTCAGATCATTATGTCTCATTAGAGCAGCCAGACCAATGGTTGAAATATATACTTTTCTATGCTCTTCTTTTGTTTTTGTTTTTTTATCTACTGATATAGCATAAACTGTTTAAGGTACAGAAGAAATAATAAAAATAGCTAAGGCAGAAGTTTCAGCAGAAACTCCCAACCTTGAGAATTAAAAAAGAACAAGCAAAAATTACACACAATGAACCCTCAGCATAACCTGAATGTCTTAACAGATGAATGACTTAAAGTAGCAAAAGCTGTATGTGAACATGATTAGCTCAAAACCAGAGACCTATTGGTGTAACATCATGAAACCTTTCACATTTGAACCTCCTTATTTACCTAAATAATAAGCAACCTTTATAACCCTTTAGCTTGGTTCTTATTTTTGAATTAATGACAGTAAAGGTCAATAGTGATAACATTAAAAGTGGGTAGAAGTATCAACTTCAGAACACAGAGAATCCTGAAAAGGTTTTGAAACGTTTTCAGAAAACCTGAGCGAGAGTTCAGTTACCTCTGATTGAAACCAGTTTTGATGGATGACTCAGAATTTGCACGGACAAACTGCATTGATTGTAGTAGTTCAGTAAATATTGAAGCTGTGGCATGACTGATTGATGCCTGTTTGCAGAATAATTTTGAAAATAATCACAAGGAATTTTATTTTTCACCCAGTTTAGTTCTTAAAGCAGAAACTCAGGGAAAAGATTGAAGAAAATAAGGTTAAAGAAAAAAAAACTTACCACGTGGTCAGATGTTTCAGGAAATTCCCTGAAGAAGTTTGTGAAATCTAAACAGGTTTCTCTAACTGGTAATTTTGGTTTTAAGTTCCCTGATGACTCAGAAATGAGCTTCTTTGGTCACTTACCGTATGTTACCGGTAAAAACAAATACATTTAAAACAATTATTATTAAATGTGTTAGATCACTTTTTTCCAGCTGTTTTGACATCTGTTTTTGCTCGAATAACTGGATTTATCAGATTAATTTGACATCTACGTTTTATCTATTTGTTTGCAGCTGTTCTACGAAGCAGTATGAATGTTTGATATCATTATTAAAGTATAAAGTTAAAATGAAATAACTTAACAGAGTTTAAGTCTGTTAAGCTTGATGAACAGAAAGGTGCACAATCCAACTCCTGACATGACATCATGTGCGTCATACTGGTTGTTTGGATTATCTGCATTGTTTCACTTTCTTTTCCACCAGGTATAATTCCAGTAAGTAAAGAGCTCTGTGCGACAAACATCTGCTGGGCTCCAAGTGAAGAATAGAGAAGTAATTTTATTGTTTTTTTTTAAGTGTCTTATGATGTTTTTCTTTCTATTTCTTGGTGTTCTGACCATCTATGATGGTCAAAGGGCCCAGTGGTGTATAGTGCAGCAGCCTGGCTTCTGTCAGTGAACGCAGGGAAGCTGTGGCAACGATATCAAGCACTTTGCCACCATTATTAGTATGAAAATATGTACATTAATAGGTGAATGACTAAATGCAGTGCAGAGAGCTTCACATTCTACTGACTTCCTAAGTACCAGCCATATTTTAACCTCTACTTTTAAATTATTTTGTTAGTATTTTAGAAAATAAAAAGTAACATACACTTTCTATACTTTTATGTTGGTATTCTTTTAAATGGCATAAGTTAACCGTAGGTGTCTACCTTTTATGTCCCTATTGTGTGGGGGTTTCTATATTTTTATTCAGACCATTGTATTCTGAGATTTTTACAGATAAAAAAATGTGTTTCCTTTCCTGTACACTGCTTATTGCATTTCATTATTTTGTTAAATTTCCTCTTTAGAGTCAAATTGGACCATTAGATCATGTTTTTTGATCTTATTATCTTGTTAAAAGCTTCATCCGGCCTCTCAATCTTACAGAGGAACTCACCCGCCTGCACACCAGAGATCCAAATAAAACTATTCTCAAACTCTCTTTTTAGTATAAAATTATTGGAATGATTTTTTTTTTAGCTGTAAACCCTGCAAACTGTCATTGGTTTTAATATTTGACAGAATTATATTTTCTTACCAAACAATTCTGGATTTATCACATACTTTGAACGCTAAGTATCGGTTTCCTACCCATTAGTTTCCTATTAGTTTCCTAACTAATCAAATTTTGTGTACATTATTGTATTTTTGTTTACCAAGTTTTTTGACACTCAAGTGAAACACATTTTTAGTTTTGACTCAACAACAGTTTTGAATCAGTAATTCATGCATTTCTCTGGATCTGCTTCTTGTCATGATGGGTTCTCTAATGGAGACCCAATAATGCAGAACACCACTGACGGACACAAGGATGAAAAGTTTAACAAGTTTATTATGCACAACACACAGAATGTACTGATGACTGGTTCGGGCCTGGGTTCTGGTTTCACCGGAGTCTGCGTGAGAGACAGAGCGGTTATGGACTGCTGACAGGACTTGATTTCCAAGAGAGCTCTGATTGTACCTTGAGGGTTCTTGAGGTTCTCTTTGGGAGAGTCACTGTTGGTTCTGGAGAAGAGTTTGTCAGCAGA